TCAGTGACTTGGGTGAGGTGAGGCTGCTGCTGCCTATGTCTACACACCTGTCACTCCCCAGCCTTTAGTCTCACCTGCATCCAGTTGTTGTTATGAAGCACAAACTGTCCACATGTACTGACAGCACTTTTTCTATAACGAGCTGTAAACAAGTTGTCTCCATATCTGAAGCTTTAGTTCTACTTGAGGAATTAAGAGGTTTTTTTGGCATCTCTGCGTTGGCCTCATTTTCAGTCCCAGAGCGCAAAGTGCCAAAAACTGCAGCCCCTCTAATAACAACTTGAGACTGGCTCCAAAAACAACTCAGTTCCCACAGGCTCCCATGATAAAATGCCCAACTTTACATCATTAATAAGCGTGTTTACAGCTCCTTCTTCCTTTGATTCCCTCATATTTTATTTTTAACTTTTAAACTCAACCCTATCAATGCTGTGTCACTACAGGCAGCTGCAAAGCCCTGAACTGGACTTATCCACTCTGTTTGTGCTGTTGGAGCATTTTTAGTAGACTATCTGACAAATTATGCAGTCTGTGTTCCTTATTTTCTTTATTTTTATTTGTGTGTCATTCAGCTCTAGTTTGCAGATATGTGTCTCTTGCACTTAATGTATGCAACTTTCTGACAAAGCTTGCTAGCCTTAACTGATCACTCATTGCTCCACCCTCTCATCCAGATATCGTGGTGGCTAAAACGCTGATGTTGAGGTTTCTATAACAGCTGCATGATGTCAGAGAGGCTACTTTATCTCTTACAAACCATCAAGCCAGGACGTGGTGGTTTTTCTTTTTGCTATTTTGTGCACCGTTTTTAAAACTTTGCCTGCCAGTCTCTACATCTGGACTCTCCAGACTCTTGACTGATGACAGACAGGTGAATACTTGGGGCACTTTGACACACAGATTGTAAGGAAGTCTGAGCACATGTGGTCCGATCCTTGGAGGCAACACTGTGATGAGTCTTGACTGTTCACTTGTGATCCAATTTCCAGAGTGGTTTTTTAAAACCAAGTGTAAACACTGCATTAAATACATATTTTTAATAATGCTCTGAGCTTCGGTGCTGCCAAACAATATTAAACATCATAGGTAATACTTATAATAATGAACACACTGATTTTCTGCTCTAACTTCACTTTGGAGCTTATAGGATCGTAAACACGTATGATAATGTTTCCATGAAAATGGTTAATAAGCTTTCAACTACAGCTTGAGTCCTGTTTTCTTTTTTTTTTTTTTTTTTTTTATTTGTTTACATTTTTAGCAAATGCCTGCCATTAAAAACTACGCCAAATTAGTTATTCTGAGGTTTTTTGGAGGGTTGTACCCGTGGACGTACAGGCCACTGCGACAGGGATACTTTAATACTGTAGATAATGTAAAAATTCTCAGGCAAGTTCTGCAGTGATAGAGGGCATCCTTTGTTCTGAGTGGATTGTTGGATATTTACATAATGATATCCTCTGGAAATATAAGTTAAACTAACACTAAAAATGTAAAAAGATTACAGACATCTGTTCACATTGGCCTGAGAAAGAGTAGAGGCATCTGTCTCACTGCTCCTCCATTGAAGGTGCACTCCATAGTTTGAACACCTCGGCTTCAAAGTGACTGTGTTGTGCCGTTTGTTTGTACAATGATCCCTGTGAGCCAAAAGTTCAGACTGCTATAAACACTCATTTTCAGACTTTTTTTTTTCCTACTCTTCACTCCATGTGATGGTAGTGAGAGTGGATATCCCTAATTTGGTCAACAGCTATGGCCTTAGGCACTAAGACCCCACCCACCTGCAAGGAGCAGCCAATCAGAAGAACAGTAGTTCTGAGATAAACACTTTGTTCAGAGGTAGAAAGTATAAAAGATAGCTGTAGCTTTGTATTTTAACCCTGTAGTCTTTTTAATGGCCACCAGAGGGCGACCTGAATCCTTGCTTACTCAGTAAACAGTTTGCTGGTGTGTTTATAGAGTCATGTACTAGATTCAGATCATGTTCAATAGAGCACTTTGGTAACTTGTGGTCATGTGATTGATAGTGAGTCAGAGCTGCGTCTCGCTCCTCACACCTGATTTCAAAACACCAAAGTAATTAAAATGTTCAACTCGAGGCTTCATAGCAGGACTTCATTCAACACTGGGTGACGTCCCTGTTGCTGTGTATGTCTTTTATGTTTTTTGTGATTTAGACACAGAGTGAACTGAATGAGCCATGTGTAAGATGGGGTTATTTTGAACTGTGAGTTATGCAGAGCTAATCCAGTACAGTCCAAAAAAGAAAACATGAAGCTGGGAATGAGCATAATCTGTCCCCTTAATGACAAAGCTGCATCATTTTGGCGCCTTTTTCACACGTGGATGAGTAACACTTTGAAAGCAATTTTTTATTTTTTTTCCACCAATCGGAGCCGTGCTTTCAGACACAGTTAAAAGCAAATAAGACGGGATGCTGTAGGCATCATGAACCTATGCAAACTGATCCTTCCAGTCTACCCTCCTGAAATGTGAAATAAAACACTCTTTAGCTAGCAGCCACTACAGAGGCAGCAGGTAATGAATATTGTGTGCTGGTAGTAAAATGCTCACAGTAGTTTCTTTTTGTTTCTAAGCACTAGTGTTGCATTAAACTGCACATTTCAAATGCTCACTGTCCTGTGCACATATGTACGGTGAAATATCCCACATCATGTCTTCCCCTCTGCTGCTGTTTGTGTCTTTACTCTGAATTCAAAGCACTTTGTGACTCCTGCAGCCGCTCAGAGCTGCAGGATCAATCTGATCCGATCTTGTTTTATCCCCGCTGTCTCTTTGTCGAGCCTCTTTTTGAAAATGTTTACATTGTATGTTTGTCGATCTGTTGTTTCCTTTCCTCTTCATACTGGTATCCACACAGCCGTATGCATACAAAGCATATTTAAGAAATAAATTATGCACTACAAAATCCTTGTGTTGGAAAATCTGGTTATTCTCTCCAGATGTTTTTCTCTCATAACCACCACACGACACTACTTCTCATTTTTGTCTTTTAATTAACAATTTTAAAAAGATTCAAGGCCATTTTTAGTTTTATATAATAGTGGAAAAGAAGTGTACTGGTATTGATTTTGGTATTGATGTTTGTAGATGATGCTGTGATCTGTAGTAAGAGTAGCAAGCAGGTGGGAGAGACCCTGGAGAGCTATGGATGCTTTATAGAGAAAAGGAATAAATATCAGCAGAGGCAAAACGGAATAATGCAAGGAGCAGAGGCTGGGAAGGTAGATGAGTTTAAGTGCCTAGCTTAACCATCCAAAGTAACACAGTACATGAACGGTGAAGAAATTAGTGCAGGGAGGGTGGAGCACATGGTTTGTGACAGAAGGATAGCGTGAAAGGGAAGGTTTACAAGATGGTAGTGATGAAAGACAGGAGGCAGACCTGAAGAGATTAGGATTTGCACTGAGAGAGTGGACAGGATTAGAAATGAGAACATCAGAGAGACAGTTCAGGTCGAGCAGTTTGGAGACAAAGTTAGAGATGGTTTGGACATGTGCAGAGGAGGGATGGTGGGTATACTAAAGAAAGAATGCTGAATATGGAGCTGGTAGACAGGAAGACCTCAGAGAAGATTAATGGATGTAGTGAAGGAGGATTTCAGAGGGTTGATGCAACATGGGAGGACGCTACAAATAAGGTGAGATGGAGGCAGATGATCCGCTCTGGCAACCCGTAAAGGGAGCAGCTGAAAGAAGAAGAAAACATTTAATTCCGAGCCTCTGAGACCTCTGGGCTGTGTTTAAAAATTTCAAATTCCTAGACAGATGAGTCAATACATTTGTTAAACCCACCATTTATTGTAGTGCTGTGCAGCGCCCAAAAATGTGAATCTTTAAGTATGTAGAGACAAAACAAAACAGTTTTACACATTTATTGCATCATGAAAACTAAAATGTGTAGCACACCAGCTTTATTAAACAATAACGCACACGGTGGGGCTGCTCACCTGTATCGCTGGGCACATAGGAGCCCAGTGATACAGGCTCCTATGTGCTGCGTGTAATATTAAAGCAATGAAATGCAAAGGTGATTATTCTTAAGTGGTTCAAAACTTTGCAGCTAATTTCCGTTTTATCCTGGCCCATATTTACTTTTCTGGCTTCTTGCTTTTAGCCCATTAATGTGAAGAAAGTGGGCGAAGGTTCAAGTAAAGTGTGAGTTCACTTGCTTCTTAATCCTATGCCTAAAATGAATAGAAAGCTATTTATTTTTCTATTTCAGGCAAAGGCAAAGATGGTGTGTGTCAAAACCGAGCTGCAGCTGAACTTGTTGCCTTCATATTAACCATAATTACAGATGTGCAAGAAGACTATCACGTAAGACCATAATTACAGCCTTCAGCTTCCTTTCATCCTCTCAAGATTTACTCAGAGGCAGTTGGCAAAGTTGCATCCAATAATATTATTGTCATCCACTTGCTAAATGCCAAACCTGAAGCCTGCATTTTATTTTAAAGCTGGATATATCAGAGTTTCTGACCTCCCAGCTCTAGTTTAATGGGATCTGCGCACCTTGGGTTCACTATAGGCAGAAGTGGAAGTTATGGCATGGAGCCCTAATCACTCAAAATACTTTCCTTTAATAGTCAAAGGAGCTTGCAAAGAAAAGCGTCTGGACTTCTTTAAGTTACTTGAAGACGTTTCACCTCTCATCCGAGAAGCTTCTTCAGTTCTAAGGTCAAATGGTGGAGAGTCCCAGATATAAACCTAGTGGGAGTGTCCCACTACGATGGCCTGGATGACTGAGAACCTTCACAGACATATTTTCCTTTAATACATTTTTCCTGCTTTCAGAGTGACTTTATTCCACAAGATCTTTGTCGATTCATCAGACTGTAACTGGAAAATGTTTTGCTGAGCTCAGTAAACGTATGAAAATCTCCAAACCTGCAGGTTTGATACGTAAAACGAGTGGCTCGTGTTATCTCTACCAAACATGCGCAGCGGATTTAAAGTCCACCTTATTGACACATGATTCCACCAATCACAGCGAAGCACCGGCACCGCTCAGCCAATCAAAGTTGCCGACGCCGAGCCCGACCTTTCTGCGGCCGAACGATATTTCAGAGAGAAGCGTGAGTAAAAACATCTTATTTCTTTACATGTAAATGTTTGAATTTGGTAACGTGGACTACGGGAACAGGTCTATTTTCACTGTGTGTGAATTTAGAGCCACAGCCCGGGCTCGACCTCACGTAGCTTAGGACGGGCTGTGGGATGCAGAGTCATCTGTGAGGGGCTGGAGGCTGCTCCTGTCCCTGTTGTTATTATGGAAGCAGTGGTTTAACTCCAGCTACATTATCAAATATGCATCTAAACCACAGTCTTAGTTAGATTTACTGTGATCACGATGATGTAGCAGAGCTGTGTTAATCCTTAATGCTTCTAACACAATGACACGTTTACATTAAATTGGCTGTTAGGCTTCAAAAATCCAAATGCAGACCAGAATGAAGGTCTGCGATGATTGTAAATGCTGGGTAATACTAGTCTTCATCGTGGTTACACAGCGTTTCATCCAATGCATGAGCAGGGTGTGTGTTATAAAGCTGCAATGATTATACTTCAGAACAAATCCCACAAATGGATTTAGCTTTCAGGTATTGTCTCAGTCAGAACTATCAAACATTTACCTGCTCTAAAATGTGAGAATTTATGCTGATAATATATTGCCGAGAATATTTTATAATTTCAAGGACTCTAGGTAAGGAGAAAAAATATCCTACCTGATGGAAATCAGAATAAGGACAGAAAATTGACTGAAAAGGTTGCCAATCAAAAAAATGAGAGAGGTGTGTTTGTAGGAATAAAGGTGAGACTTTCAGACTATGTAAGCTGTCAAGCATGGTGGTGGTAGCATCGTGCCCTGCAGCTTTTGTGCAGTCAGTTCGCCACACAAAGTGGATGGAACAATGAAGAAGTAGGACTATCTCCAAACCTCACTTTGGTGTAGACTGATCTGTAGCGCCTACCAGAGTGGGGAGGTTGGAAGAGGTCATCAGACTCATGACCATCGTGTCATCGCAAACATCACAATCTGCAGACAGCCCTTCTGAGGTGCTGTCATTTGTGAACAGGGAGAAGAGTGCTTAGAGGGTTCAAAGTAAATAGAGCTGCTCCTTGCATATAAAAGCCTCTCATAAAAGGAACGAGTGTGAAGTTTGGTGTCATTTTCATTTTATGATGGACAGATCAGAACTAATATTTTTAGTGCGATGCTAGAAAACAGAGATTGAAGCTGCTTTCCCTTCTGCTGTGCTTGAATGTGAAGCTTCACTTAAAGTACAAACAAAGTTTATAGAGACTTCTTGTTGTAGCGTGGGTAAGAAGATGGAGTTAGATGGTCGGTGACCAGACCTCGTCGATACAGAGAGGCTGGGTGTGCTGTGCAACGTGATGCATCGCCTCAATGTTCATGATAAACAGAGAAGGTTGAGTTTAGTTTGAATGCAAAGTCACAAAATAGCTAATCAAAAGGATGAAATATAAAAAAACCAAATGAGAAAAAACAAATATATTATGTAATCTGTACTGCTGTGATCATCTTATCTGCTGCAGACAAACAGATGTTACAAAGAAAGGATCATAGAGTCATAAAATCTGAGAAGATTATTATTTGACTCATTATAAGCACAGAGAATAAGATTGTGGACCATAACATAATTACATGTTATTTTATTCTAATATTTAGGTCACTAAAGCAGCTGTAAACCAGTCAGTGCTTATCACCGTCATCATCATGGCCTCTGGAGCGTTGTTCCCCAGCATGGTGTCTGGGTCCCGCGGCTCCTCCAGTAAGTACCTGGTGGAGTTTCGTGCCGGTAAGATGACCATGAAGGGCAGCACGGTGACGCCTGACAAGCGTAAAGGTCAGGTCTACATCCAACAGACGGACGACTCCCTCATCCATTTCTGCTGGAAGGATCGGACCACCGGGAACGTGGACGATGTAGGTAACGCCATCCAGATGAGGTTAACTGGTGTTTGAATTTCTTAATATCACAGCAGTCATTTCCATTTGCCAATTTAGGACCTGATCATCTTTCCTGATGACTGCGAGTTCAAACGGGTGAATCAGTGCACTACCGGACGAGTCTATGTGCTGAAATTCAAAGCTGGCTCCAAAAGACTCTTCTTCTGGATGCAGGTATGCAGCTGCTCCAGACTCGTCTGTTTACTAATCCTTTGTTTCCCAGCATGTTTTCTCTTTTTATTCAAGCTAAATATAATTATTTCTTACCGAAAGGTTACTGACTTTTCTCCTGAATCTTTCACTAAATTGAAGAAGATTCAGGAGAATCATCTCATGACATCCCAGTTCACTTCAAACCAAGCAGACAAAAACTGGTTCATCTGTTGTGCTGTCCATATAACTGGCCCCTGGGTCATTACATGGAAAATCAGTTCAATTGTCAATTTTTAAAATTCTGTTTTATTTATTTAGGGCCAAATCACAACAACAACCAACAATCAGCAACAGTTGCCTCAACACCCTTTATATTGTCTGGATCCTACAATAATACAGAGAAAACCCCAACAATCAGCCTTCTGCCATGAGCGTTTGAGGGTGAGGGGAGGAAGGCAGGACAAAGACAGGCTGTGGAAGAGAGGCAGAGATTAATGATAACTAACGATTAAATGCAGAGAGGTGTAAAACACACAGTGAGTGAAAAAGAAAGATTTGAAAATCAGATTTGACTGATTTTTACACATAAGAATCCACCTCGTTTCTGTCACCTTCCTTTCACGTAAGCCGATAACAAATCTTCCTGCTTCTGGTTCAGATCCAGCACTCTTTGGTAGTAGGCCAAGTTTCCCTTGGAAGGGATTTTCAGTTTCCAGCGTGAGCAATATTCCCATTCAAGCTGAAGTCATAGGACAGGTAGCTTTCTGTTGACTGCTTAAACAGACCCGGATGCCTTTGGCAGACGTTTAGAGGAAATGAGAGGATACAAAGGATAAAAACGAAGCAAAAAAACAACATTCATGATCTTTTGTTTTTGTGTATTGCAATAATAAGGCTTGTTCTGCTTTACACCTCAAAATGTTAATGTTCAGTAACCCTGGCATTTTGTTTTTCTGATCTCAGGAGCCAAAGACTGACAAGGATGACGAGTACTGCCGCAAAGTGAACGAGTATCTTAACAACCCGCCCATGCCCGGTGCTCTCGGCAGCGGCGGCAGCGGAGGACACGATCTGTCTGCGCTCGGAGGTAACAAACACGCTGTGTCGTAGTTTAAACCTGTCGTGGGTAAGAAGCTGAACTGTCTCACCTTCATGGGTGTCACCTGTCTTCTCTGCTTGCATGTAAAGGTGAGGGTGGCCTGCAGAGCCTTCTGGGTAACATGAGCCACAACCAGCTGATGCAGCTTATTGGACCAACTGGACTGGGAGGGATTGGTGAGTACCTTCATGACTGAGTCCACAAGCTAACAGCGTGAAAACATCTCATTAACAATATCGGTGAGATGTTGAGCTCTGTTTGTGTGATTGACAGGTGGTCTCGGGACACTGGCTGGTCCAGGCTTGGCCAACCTTCTTGGAAGTAGTAGCAGCAGCAGCAGCAGCAGCGTTCCTGCAGCCAGCAACTCCTCCACAAGGTGTCTTATTTACATTTCTGTTAAATATATTGAAGGATTCCAGAATATTTTTGAGGTGGAAAACAAGATAAAATGAGAAGTTCCAATAAAAGGGAAGCTATGAAAGAGAAGGTTTTAGCATCAGTACAGCAGAGCTCAAATGTTAACTATAACCTTAAAAATAACAGTTTAGCCATGAACTGTATATAAAAGATGGACATAGATATGGAGCTGTCACCCAATGATTAGCAAGTTCCCCTTTTGAATCCTTAAGATGAGCAATTTTGACTTTTCTGACACTGAGATTAAAATCACTAAGGTCAGAGGTAAAGTGAGGAGTCTTTTTTTTTTTATATACTTCAACGCTAAGTCGCCACCTGCTGGTCATGAAAAAGAATGCATGTTTACTTTTGCTTTGCAACCTGAAAGCTAAATCCTTCTTTGAGTTCAGTTTGTAATGAGTCATGAGTTTTCTTCCAGAGAAGCTCTGAGCTCCAACTGATATGATTATTTCCAAAATCCCAAAAAGTTGATTCTGTTCATCTGGATGTAGCTTTTTCAATGGGAGAAATGTTTCATCACTCATCCAGTTGACTTCTTCAGTCTCTGCTGACTGCAGGTTTTCCCAGCCTTATAAAACAGTACCTTTGCATAATGACTGAAACTAGCACCACTGGCGAACAACAGGCTGTGAGGTCAGTTCCTTGATCATTAATATGCAAATTGTCATGACCATTGATCAACAACCACTGATAAGTAAGAAAATAAGTAAGTAAAATGTATTTATATAGCACTTTTCAAAAATAAAAATCACAAAGTGCTTTACAATAAAAGACCATTGATCAAAATCAAATCCAAGGACGTACCACAATTCACGGATCACATTAGCTCAGTGGACCAACACATCAAGTTCACCAGGGAGGATATAAAAAATGGCAGGTTAGCCTTCTTATACTGAGATTTCCATCAGTAATCGGGCATTTAAAAGTTGATGTGTACCGTAAACCAACACAGATGGATCAGTATTTAAGGTTTGACTCTCATCAGCCACTGGAGCACAAACTGGGTGTCATCAGGATGCTTCAACATAGAGCGAACACCATCCCCGCAGACAGAGCGGCCAGGGAAGCAGAAGAACGTCACATCAAGAAGGCCCTGAGTACATGTGGTTATCCCAGCTGGACGTTTGTCAAAGCTGAGAAGGCGCATAAAGAAAGCTCCAGCCGATCCAGGAAATAAGGACTGCTACCGAAGCGAAAACCCTTAGTGATCTCTTATGTGTCAGGAGTATCGGAACATTTGAGACACATTTTCTCTAAACATAGCATCTCTGTGGCTTTCAAACCCCAAAACACGCTGCGCCAAAAATTGGTCCACCCCAAAGATCGGGTCCCCCGACACAAACAGAGTAATGTAGTGTACGCTGTTAAGGGCCAGGAGGATTGCCATGATTTATAAATCAGGGAAACCAAACAACCTCTGGTGAAGGGTTAGGGGTTGTGATTTTACATAATGTTTTGCTAAACATTTCCATCCACAGTCCGTCCACAGCCGTCACCCCAACCTCTACCTCCGCTGCTAGTCGGCTCGGCTCCTCCCAGGTTCCCACCACTCCCATCACTCCCTCTGCCACCTCAGCGGCCTCCCCAACAGCCACCACCCCCTCCACCCCTGCTGTGTCCTCCGTGGCGGCAGCAGCAGCCAACCCCACGCAGCCCATCCAGCTGAGAGACCTGCAGAGCATCCTGGCCACCATGAACGTACCTGCCAGCAGCCAGGGAGGTGAGGATTTGATGGAAGCTTCAGGAAAATTGAACTTTGTTCTCCTAAAAACTGAGATTTGTTTTTGGGTTTTTTTGGTTTTAAATCTGAAAGTAAATGAATAATTAGACCTAATTAGTGAAATCTTCACTAATTAAGCGCCAAATAATTAAGACTGTGATCACAACAGTGTCGCTAATTCTGCGTAATTTTTGCATTATAATTCAGTTTGCTGCAGGAGCACGAATCCCCTGAAAATTCTGCAGGCTGTCGCTGTTTTGATTAAATTTCATTGTGCTGCGCTACATTAGGCACAGCTTCCTGCTGATGTGCTGACAGATTAATATACAAAAAGTAAGATGGCAGAGGAAGAAAAGGGCCAAAGACAGTGTGTGATATTGAATTAAGTTTTATAAGAAAAATTGCACAATATGCCCTCATTAGACATTTTATTAGATACAAATTGCTAGCACCAGATTGGGGCTGGAAACATTCCTTAGAGGTCTGGTCCATATTGACCTGATAGCATCACCTATTGGGCCTTTAGAAGCTGGGTGCACTGTGGTTCTGGTCAGTGCAATGCTTAGATAGGCTGTGGGGGTTAAATGGTTATTAGTTGGTGAATGAACCAACAGAGGTTCTCTCAGATGAAGACTTCCTAACTTACTGTTTGATTCACTCCCAGCACATCAGCATCCAGGCCTTAAACCTGTATTCTTGTGGACTTCATAAGGACAGTAAAGCAGAATATACTTTAGGGATCAGTCAGATCCACCCTCAGAGATAACGTCAAAACCTGACTCGACATACAGGTGATCTCACAGCCACCACTAAACATCTCAGACGAAGATTTTATCTGACTTTGTAACTGAGGAACACAAAGAAGTAAAAGTAGTCACGACCTGAAGCACAGCCTGCTTTATCTTCCCTTTTAACTTTAATTTCAATCATAATTTTACTAAATTAACAATAGTGACTGAGATCATAAAGCCCTTTGAGAGCTCCATTGTTTGACCGTTTAAGCTCCAATAATAAAGATTTTCTATAGCGCTATGGCACAGATGACTGAATTATTACCCTTAAGTCAGAAAGAAACCTCATGATCTAAAGCAGCAATAATCTCACTGAGGCTCAGAATTACAGATTACAGATTCACTTGCATCTAACTGTGCTTGAAAAAAGTGATTTTTGTGTCTCGTATGTTTGAAATATGAATGATAATGTTGTTGTTTGCATTAACCAGTCAGTGTGGGTCTTTGTTGCCCGCAGTGGACCTCGCGAGCGTCCTGACGCCTGAGATCATGGCTCCCATCTTGGCCAATCCTGAGGTTCAGCAGAGGTTGATGCCCTATCTGCCCTCCGGAGAGTCCCTGCCTCAGAGCTCAGAGGAGCTGCAAAACACGCTGAGCTCACCTCAGTTTCAGCAGGTGGATGTCCTGTATAGTTTTTTTTTTTTAAACAGAGAGGAACTGACTGTTCCCTTCAAAGTGATACAGTTTCCTCATTTGTCATTTAAAACTGCTGTAGCTTTGTTCTTCTTTTATTATAGTGTTTGGTTTATGCTGTGTCATATTATATCCACATTTGTTGCACCTGTAGCAGTTTCAGGCTGATAAATGCACACATTTTCCTACTAAACCTAAATATTTTATTATCCTTGATTTCAGAAATTTCATCTGAACTGAGATACGGTGTGTTTGAGAGGATCCGGGTTGTTGGCATTTAGCATCTTGTAGTGGCATTTGTCCTTATTGTTGGTATTTATGGTCTCTCTGCAGGCTATGAGCATGTTCAGCAGCGCTCTGGCGTCCGGGCAGCTGGGGCCTCTAATGAACCAGTTTGGCTTGCCTGCAGAGGCCGTCGACGCTGCTAACAAAGGAGGTCAGTGTTGACTCATGTCGCGCAGAGACGCTGTACCTGATTGTTTCAGCTCTGCAAAACTTAAAGGTCAACAGCAACATTACGTTTTGTCAGCCGTGAAATGTAAGAAACATTTAATAATGTGCAGCAAGTGAGACGATTTTTAAAGCGCACTAACACTGAAAAGTTTGCAGAACGGCATGCAGCTGTCCTAGCGGACGCTCCAAACCTGTTTCAGTCCACACAGACTCGCACGTTGCGATGTTAAAACGTGACAGCATAAAAATCATGCTTACTGCTGTTTGTGGCCTCGATTGTTTTCACATCGACAAATACTGACATCTACAGTGGTGTGCAAAAGTTTGGGCACCCCTGATAATTTTCATGATTTTTCTTCATAAATCATTGGTTGTTTGGATCAGCAATTTCATTTAAATATATCATATAGCAGATGAACACAATGGTATTTGAGAAGTGAAATGAAGTTTATAGGATTTACAGAAAGTGTGCAATAGTAACTTAAACTAAATTAGGCAGGTACATAAATTTGGGCACCCCAACAGAAAATTACATCAACATTTAGTTGACATTTAGCCTCCAAACACTTCTGATCGCTTCCAATGAGAGTCTGGATTCTGGGTGAAGGGATTTTGGACCTTTCGTCTTTACAAAACATCTCCAGTTCAGTCAGGTTTGATGGTTTCTGAGCATGGACAGCCTGCTTTAAGTGACACCATAGATTTTCAATAATATTCAGGTCTGAGGACTGAGATGGCCATTCCAGAACGTTGTACTTGTTCCTCTGCATGAATGCCTTAGTGGATTTTGAGCAGTGTTTAGGGTCATGTTGAAATATCCAGCCCTTCAACTTCAACTTTGTCACTGATTCTTGAACATTGTTCTCAAGAATCTGCTGATATTGATTGGAATCCATGCAACCCTCAACTTTAACAAGATTCCCAGTACCTGCACTGGCCACACAGCCCCATAGCATGATAGAACCCCCACCAAATTTTACTGTGGGTAGCAAGTCTTTCTCTTGGAATGCTGTGGTCTTTTTCCACCATGCATACCGCCTCTTGTTATGCCCAAATAACTCAGTTTTAGTTTCATCAGTCCACAGCACCTTATTCCAAAATGAAGCTGGCTTGTCCAAATGTGCTTAATCATACCTCAAGCGACTCTGTTTGTGGCATGTGCGCAGAAAAGGCTTCCTCTGCATCACTCTCCCGTACAGCATCTCCTTGTGCAAACTGCGCTGAATAGTTGAACGATGCATAGTGACACCATCTGCAGCAAGATAATGTTGCAGGTCTTTGGAGCTGGTGTGTGGGTTGACTATGACTGTTCTCGCCATCCTTCATCTCTGCTTATGTAAGATTTTCCTTGACCTGTCACTTTCGGCCTTAACTAGAACTGTCCCTGTGGTCTTCCATTTCCTCACTGTGTTCCTCACAATGGAAACTGACAGCTGAAATCTCCAAGATAGCTTTTTGGATCCTTCCCCTAAACCATGATGTTGAACAATCTTAGTTTTCAGGTCATTTGAGAGTTGTTTTGAGGCTCCCATGTAGCCACTCTCGAGAGAAGATGCAAAGAGGAGAAAAACTTGCAATTGGCCGCCCTAAATCCAGTCATTTGTCATGACTGGATTTACCTGTGTATGTATGTTAAGGGTCAATGAGCTTACCAAATAAATTCTATGTTTCAATAATTATTGCTAAAGGTATTCAAATGAATAAAACAACAAGGGTGCCCAAATTTATGTACCTGCCTAATTTAGTTTAAGTAACTATTGCACACTTTCTGTAAATCCTATAAACTTCATTTCACTTCTCAAATTTCATTGTGTTCATCTGCTATATGATATATTTAAATGAAATTGCTGATCCAAACAACCAATGATTTATGAAGGAAAAACATGAAAATTATCAGGGGTGCCCAAACTTTTGCATACCACTGTATCTGCTGTGCGACAGAGCCCGTCCAATAAGCTTGTGCTTAGTTTTTTTTATTTACAAGTCAGGTCAAAGTTTATTTCTACAGCACATCTAAAACAAGCTCAGCTCACCAACGTGCTACACGGACGTTAAAAAAGCCATTAGAAGCTATTCTAATGGACGCAAATCTACATGTTTTATTGATATACTGAGAGGTTCAAACTTGACATTAAGGGTACTGGGGAGCTTATCAAATGCTGTCTTTGTGGGAGGAAGACCGTGTTTTAAAGTGAATTAGTGACTGAGCAGGTTCTGTTGCATCGTTCGCTTTGGAGCTTGGCTCTGTGAATGTCTAAGAGCAGTAGGTTTGTAATGTAGCATCAGGGCTCTGGGAGGATTTTAGGGCTGCTCAAGAGGGTGGCGCCAAACCAGTGAGACTCTTAAAACAAGTAATAAAAATTTAAACCAGCCTTGAGGCTTAGGAGACCACCTTCTCTACAAAATATGGTCACCTCTAAATGTGAGGAATCAACGTTGAGTGGAGGGCGGCCAGGATACTAACACTTATGCTTCAAAAGTGAAGTCCAGAAGTTTTCTTTATGGGTTTTAGTATATCGTTAAAAACATTTTTTTTTCAGTTTCTTCTTCTTAGGCTGAGTTTAGTTTTCCATGCAGGTGGGCACACACGCAGAAGTGTGTGTGTATATGTGTGTGTGTGTGTGTGTATATATATATATATATATATATATATATATAAAACACCCAGCACGCCCCTGCGGGCGGTTTATCCTTCAAGCTCGGGTCCTCTACCAGAGGCCTGGGAGCTTGAGGGTCCTGCGCAGTATCTTAGCTGTTCCCAGGACTGCGCTCTTCTGGACAGAGATCTCCGATGTTATTCCCGGGATCTGCTGGAGCCACTCGCCTAGCTTGGGAGTCACCGCACCTAGTGCTCCGATTACCACGGGGACCACCGTTACCTTCACCCTCCACATCCTCTCGAGCTCTTCTCTGAGCCCTTGGTATTTCTCGAGCTTCTCGTGTTCCTTCTTCCTGATATTGCTGTCATTCGGAACCGCTACATCGATCACTACGGCCGTCTTCTTCTGTTTGTCTACCACCACTATGTCCGGTTGGTTAGCCACCACCATTTTGTCCGTCTGTATCTGGAAGTCCCACAGGATCTTAGCTCGGTCATTCTCCACCACCCTTGGGGGCATCTCCCATTTTGACCTCGGGACTTCTAGGTTATACTCGGCACAGATGTTCCTGTACACTATGCCGGCCACTTGGTTATGGCGTTCCATGTATGCCTTGCCTGCTAGCATCTTGCACCCTGCTGTTATGTGCTGGATAGTCTCTGGGGCATCTTTACACAGCCTGCACCTGGGGTCTTGCCTGGTGTGATAGACCCCAGCCTCTATGGATCTTGTACTCAGAGCTTGTTCTTGTGCTGCCATGATTAGTGCCTCTGTGCTGTCTTTCAGTCCAGCTTTGTCCAGCCACTGGTAGGATTTCTGGATATCAGCCACCTCCTCTATCTGCCTGTGGTACATACCGTGCAGGGGCCTGTCCTTCCATGATGGTTCCTCGTCTCCCTCCTCTTTCTTGGGTTTCTGCTGCCTGAGGTATTCACTGAGCACTCGGTCAGTTGGGGCCATCTTCCCAATGTATTCTTGGATGTTCCTTGTCTCATCCTGGACTGTGGTGCTGACACTCACCAGTCCCCGGCCCCCTTCCTTCCGCTTAGCGTACAGCCTCAGGGTGCTGGACTTGGGGTGAAATCCTCCATGCATGGTCAGGAGCTTTCTTGTCTTTATGTCAGTGGCTTCTATCTCCTCCTTTGGCCAGCTTATTACCCCAGCAGGGTACCTGATCACGGGCAGGGCGTATGTGTTGATGGCCCGGATCTTGTTCTTACCATTCAGCTGACTCCTCAGGACTTGCCTGACCCTCTGCAGGTACTTGGTGGTTGCAGCCTTTCTAGCGGCCTCTTCATGGTTCCCATTTGCCTGCGGGATCCCCAGGTACTTGTAACTGTCCTCTATGTCTGCAATGTTGCCTTCTGGTAGTTCAATCCCCTCAGTTCTGACTACCTTCCCTCTCTTTGTTACCATCCGACTACACTTCTCCAGTCCGAACGACATTCCAATGTCATTGCTGTATAGCCTGGTAGTGTGGATCAGTGAATCGATGTCTCGTTCACTCTTGGCATACAGCTTGATGTCATCCATGTACAGGAGGTGGCTGACAACTGCTCCGTTCCGTAGTCGGTATCCGTAGCCAGTCTTGTTAATGATCTCACTGAGGGGGTTCAGGCCTATGCAGAACAGCAGTGGGGACAGAGCATCTCCTTGGTAGATCCCGCACTTGATGGTAACTTGTGCTATGGGCTTGGAGTTGGCCTCTAGTGTTGTACGCCACATCCCCATTGAGTTCCTGATGAAGGCTCTTAGGGTCCCATTGATCTTGTACAATTCTAGGCATTCCAGTATCCAGCTGTGGGGCATTGAGTCATAGGCCTTCTTGTAATCAATCCAGGCAGTGCACAGGTTGGTCAGTCTGGTCTTGCAGTCTCGGCTGATTGTTCTGTCTACCAGTAGCTGGTGTTTTGCACCTCTGGTATTCTTGCCAATTCCTTTCTGTGTCCCGCTCATGTATTGACCCATGTGCCTGTTCATCTTTGCCGATATGATGCCTGACAGGAGCTTCCATGTAGTACTGAGGCAGGTTATTGGTCGGTAGTTGGAGGGGACCGGTCCCTTCTTGGGGTCCTTGGGGATCAGGACCGTCCGGCCTTCAGTTAGCCATTCCGGGTGTCTTTCGTTAACTAGCAGCTGGTTCATTTGTGCTGCCAGACGCTCGTGGAGTGCAGTCAGCTTCTTCAGCCAGTAGGCGTGAACCATGTCGGGCCCTGGTGCTGTCCAACTCTTCATACTGGAGACCCTTTCTTGGATATCTGCCACTGTGATGGTTACTGGACCCTGTTCAGGGAGGTCGCTGTGGTCTGCCCTCAGATCCTCTAGCCACTGAGCATTGCCGTTATGGGTTGCATCCTTCTCCCATATGCTCTTCCAGTATTGCTCCGTCTCCAGCCTTGGTGGTGCTGTTCTCTTATTGTTCCCTTGCCACTGAGAGTACACCTTTGCTGGTTCTGTGGAGAACAGCTGGTTTATTCTCCTGCCTTCTATCTCTCTGGTGTACCTCCTCAAGCGGCTGGCCAAGGCTGTGAGTCTTTGCTTGGCAGTTTCCAAGGCCTCAGGTATGGACAACTTGCTGTATTTCTTAGGCACCTTCTTTGTCGCACCTTTCTGCAACTCCGTTAGTTGGCTAACCTCCCTCCGTGCTACTTTGATCTTGCCCTCTAGCCTCCTTCTCCATGGAGGGTACTGCCCTTGTGGCTGTTCAACTTGTAGCCAAGCATCTCACTGATCACTGCTGCCGTATTGTAGATCAGCTTGTTAGTGTCGGTAATTGTGGTTGTAGGTATTGCCCGTAGTGCCGCATTAACATCATCTAGCAGACCTTCTGAGGGTACTTCACGTAATCTTGGTAACCAGCTACGGGGATCCAGGTTTCAAGCTTGGCCATGATCCTATTTTTCAGGTCAGTTCCTCTCGCACTCAACGATCCTTCTCCTATCGCACTTGGGCTATGTACCCAATCTCGGGTGGGGGTGATGATATCTCCCCCTGACCTGGCGTCCTGACTCCTCCTTGCCGTAGCATTTGTGTTGTACCTCGTCAATCTCTAGCTGTGAGAGCAGTCCCTTCTTTCGAATGTTGGAACACTGAGCTACTAGTTGTTTCGCCGTCATTGTGGATGTTGGGTATCGAAGAATCCATAGGTCCCTCATCCTATTCATGTAGCCCTTCCGCCGGGGTTACTTGCGTAGTAGCATTCCAACAACGCCCTGTTTTCGTCCCTTGCCCACCGATGCCTTCTTGTTCCAGTAGCCCACTTTTCGTCAGGGTGCCCTGGTTCCTCAACACCTGACGCGGACCTTGTTGATCCGGGCGACGTCCGAGCCGGCATGCCTTCATATTTATCTGTCTCGCTCATGTCTGCGGTAGGCTTGCTTAGCATAGGGGGTCTAGCCTTAGGACCCTTACTGGATACAGACGCCCCAGGCAGGAATCGAACTTGCGATCCTCTGTTCCAAAGGCGTGTAGTTTAACCACTACGCTATCCAGCTGCTGGATATACATATATATACATACACATATATATATATATATATATATACGTGTATATATATATGTATATATATATATATATGTATGTATATGTATATATATGTATATATATATATATATATATATATATATATATGTGTATGTATATATGTATATATGTATATATATATATGTATGTATGTATATGTATATATGTATGTATGTATGTATGTATGTATGTATGTATGTATGTATGTATATATATATATATATATATATATATATATGAGGGGTGCAACGATATTCGTATCGATATTGAACCGTTCGATACAGTGCTTTCGGTTCAGTACGCATATGTATCGAACAATACAAAATTTTTAATTTATTTTATCAACTTTCCTTCTGACGATGCTGTCTGTGTTGAGCGCTCAGTGGATCTGTGTTCGACTACTCCGCCTAGGCTCGACAGTGCAGCCTAGGCGGAGTAGTCGAACGCAGATTCACTGAGCGCTCAACACAGACAGCATCATCAGAAGGAAGAGCGCAGGGCATTCAGATCTGGCGTTTGGAATTATTTTGGTTTTCATGTGATGTATGACCCTGAAGGTAAGCGAGTCATGGACTAAAGTAAAACAGTATGTTTGCCATGCAATGCTCAATTACATGGGTGGGAGCTAGTGTGTTAGCGCAGTTAGCTCGTTAACATGTTGGCCATCTAGCCCCATGCACGGAGCAATCGGCGGTAGCTCGTTAACGGAGATTTGCCGTGTTGTGGCGTTAAGGTCATTTCAACGAGATTAACCTGAAAGCACTAGTGGGAACACAACGAATATGACTCCACATTTACTCCGACATCATCCTAGTGCAAAGACAAGTTGAAGCAGAAAAAAAAACAACAAGCATGCTACTAACTTTAGCCGAGTCATTTAGACAGCTGTTAGCACATGATTCTCCTTATGTGTTTAATATGCTGCTGAGAATATAGCCCAGAAGAAGCGGATAGTATAGCTTTTATTTTGGAAAGAGCCACTTCTCTGTAATAAACTCTCTTTTCCAAAGATGAGTGATTCCTCAATCAGATACAGGGCTCGCAATATTGCTAGCCCGACGTCCCGGGGCTAGCGATCTTTTCAGTCGGGCTACCAAAATCTATCTCTTCCCTGCCCGTCGGGCTATTGTAGGAAAAATATATGTCAATGCTTTTGCATTCTTTCAGAAATGTAGCTGGGTAATTATGTCATTGGCATCGGTGAGCCACTGTCAATATGTGACATATTGAAATCGCGTTTGAATTTGCGCTTGTTTTTTTGCTTTCACTTTGCAATGTGCGAACTGTGTATAGAGAGCGACAGCACTGATCTGTGAGTGATGATAATTTGTGCACCAATTCCTCTGACATCGTCTTATTAATCGTTAGCTTACTATGCAAACATGACAAGTGAAATCTCCCGCAGCAAGCTTAAACATGTGAGAGGTTGATCGCGCAGAGAATCGCTGAGCTTATGTGAGTGCGCGTGTAAAAGCAGCAGGATATATATTTGACTACGATGACCTGGATGACTGAGAACCTTCACAGACAGATATATATTTTAGTTCTGCTGAGCCAAATAAGACAGGTCAGGGTGAAGAAGTGACAGCCAAAGAAAAGCTTACCACAAAACGGAGAAGTTATGACAAATCAGACTATAAGGCAAAAAGAAAGTGCAGCTTTATGGTTTTATGGACAAAAGAATTTCTGTAGCTGCAATATGATGAGCTAAATAACCAGGGCTGCACATAAGTGGTCCGCAGGTGCGCATTCGCTGTCAAAATAAAAAACACGCACAAGGGTTAGGGTTAAATTTAAAAACTGTACTTTTGAGTTAAAATATATATTTATAATTTTAATAAATGACAAATTAAAAAGGCATGAACATTTTTTTTGTATCGAAAAAATATCGAACCGTGACACCAAAGTATCGAACCGAACCGAACCGTGAATTTTGTGTATCGTTGCACCCCTAATATATATATATATATATATATATATATATATATATATATATATATATATATATATATATATATATATAAATCTGCCTGAATGACAGACGCATAGTTGGTCCATTTATGTGTCGCAACAAATCAGAGGGCACGCTGACGTCCGCGCGGGGCCTCCTGCTCACCCTGTAATGATGAAATGTGCGTCACTCAGCCTCAATAGAAACTGCCACATTCCTGCAAGGCCTAAATTGTAATACTGGAATGAAAGATGAAAGCCTTTCTGTGCAGGAGCGTGCCAGAAAAAATCTCTCTCATGCGTATGATTTAATGAAGCTGCCCGCTGAGCAGCATGTACTTCGCTGTGCACCTCCAGCTTCTGTTCGTACACAGTGTCGTATGAAATCTGACGTTTCCTTTGTGTTGAGTCCCCACATGGAACAGTCGCAAATTGTTGGAACAAGAATGCTTCAATTCTGTTTTATTTAAGTCTGATTTAATCCTGCTTTAATCAGTTCAGCAGCTGTGCTAATGTGATTGATCATTTGAAAAACTTTAACAATCAGCCTTTGATCAACAAAGAAACACAAAGGAGCTGAAACTGGGCCTTAGTACACCAAGGCAAATATTACATTAGCAATAATCCATGAATAGCTGTAGGTTTTATCTCTGTTTTAGATCAACTTCATGTGATTTTATTTTTAATAAAAAGTTTCGTTTTAAGTTTAGACCAAACTTTGACAGCTTAATTATGCTACTTTATATATTCTTAACAACATTTCACCTGGGTTGATGTTAGTCGACAGACTTTGGAGTTTGTGATTTTTTTTTTTTTTTTACACTTAAATATTTGATTGAATAAAAGCAGTTTAATTATATTTTAATAACACTGTACTTGTTTTAAATCCTTAACACCACAATATTAAAATGCTTTGACACTAACGTTGCAGTAAGAACCAGCGATAGATTAATTTTGTAGTAAACAAATAAAATTATGTTTGCATCTGTGTGAAGTTTTGAAACAAAACGTGTTAAATGCTAACAGAAATAATTTTCTGTCCAGGTAAAATTTGAAATGTAGTAATTGTTTTAACTTTAGTGGAGAAAAGCTCTTTAAACTGTGGATGAGAAATTGCTTCCAGGTTATCATGTAGTTAGCTGAGCAGGTTAACTTCAGCTCCAGCTTTGAATTCTGCTCCTTTATTCTTTCCAGATGTGGAGGCTTTTGCTAAAGCCATGGAGACGGAGACAAAGTCTGATCAAGACGGCGACTCCAAAGACAAGAAAGACGACGATGAAGACATGAGTCTGGACTGAGCGCTCTTTTAAGAAATATTATTATTTAATGTATTTATTTTGCTGCTTAGCTGCCGTTTTATTCCCGCCACACCTCAAGGGTAAAGATTGTGGTTGATGTAGTGGAAAGTGTGACTCCCAGCTGATAGTGCTGTGTTGAATTAATATCTACTGATGTAACTGGGTGAACATGTACTCCACCTGCATGTCAGCTACTAGCCTATCCTGTCCAAACATGAGGGAACAGTAAAAATAATAGAAACACTTGTTAGTGTCTGACTGTTTTTGTTTTAGTAGCCAAGAAGACAAGTCAAACTTAATTTTTCAGTGTCTTAAAATATATTTTAAAAACATTCATTTTACGGAACAGTGTAAACACACAATGATCATCCAACAATTCGACAACAACCGTACATTTTCTGCACATCGGTTATTTTGAACACTTTTTTAAATTTAATCACATCAGGCAAACACAGTAAACTGAATCACCATTAAGTAAGAAGACAGATTCTTTCCCAGACAAGACCAACATTTAAAGATCAACCACAGAAAGACAAATGTCACTTCGATCATTAACAATTTCACTGCCGCTGTGATTTCAGGCACTTTTTGTCTGTACTTGACGTGTTTCTACCGTCCGGTTCATCTATTCATGGAGTCACAATGAAAACACCACAATCTTCCAGTGATGATCGCTACGGCGTCTTTGGGTTTGACTTTACAAAAGATTAACGGCTCAGTCGCACTAGAGTAAAATAGGTTGACAACCTCCGATGTTCAGCTTTTGGAGAGAGGTTCGGCGCGCTACACCCTCAACATCTGGGCCACCGCTTTCAACTGCAGGTCACCTTTTCTAAAGAAGCAAGTCTCTAAATTTAGACTCGCTCGAGGTTTACCAGTGAGACAGGAATTATTTGCAAACACACAGACTGATTGCAACATGTTGGCAGAGTCATTTTGCACCAGTGAGTGGAACAGGACACGCAACTACATCCTTTAAATCTACGCGATCCTGGTTGGATTCTAAATAAAAACAGTTCATGTGAATTTTTGTGTAGATCCAACAGATAGTTAATTCCCACATTATCACAAACTGATTGCATATAATTAACATCATTCATTTGCTAACAGACTGCTTGCAACTCAAAGTTTCTTTGAAGACTGAAACTGAGTGACTGCAAGCCTGAAAAATGTCTTTGACGCAACGTTCTCAAGGTCATTTTACATAGTTTGTTCCAACCCTTTTTCCATAGTGTGACTGCACCAAAAAAGAAAAGAAAAAGAATTCCTGAGAATTAAAAGATAACTAACCAGTGCATTTTACAAAACATATCCCTGGGTAATGACACGAAACAAAAACAACAAGAGGAAAAAAAATGTTTACTATAAATAAGAAACTTCCATCATCCTGTTTCTCTGCATGTGACACCACAGCACAGTGGAAATACTGGATACAAGCACGACCAACACCAAAGTCAGAACACAGAGCTGCCACAGGAGTCTGATGTTTTCTTACTATTCGCGGTAAATACGAGAGTTTGGCTGGATAATTGTGAGACATAGTACAAATATCGAATGGACGTAAACAAATTAAAGGCCACTTCTCCCCGAAAAGATGTTTCCCCACTTACGATCTACAGTGTCATGTTTCAGGCTCATTGCTAAAAATGCTTCAGCGTCACAGTGGGTTTACAAGGCATTTAAAAAAGAAAAAAAGAAATCAGCAATATGTCTTTTACAATAAATACTATACAGGCTGTATAGTAACAAGAAAGGTGCACATGAGTTTTTTTTTTTCTTTTTTACACACACACACACACACACACACACACACACACACACACACACACACACAGCGTACCTTTACAAAGACGTTAAAACAGGGTGGCATCCTAAAAACCCACAAGAAACCAAAATAAAAGCACCATTAATGTGCTCAGTGAACATCTCTAACATAGAGCTCATGACTGGATCAACATGAGAACGTCACACCTACAAAAAGACATTCAGGGAGAGAAACACATGCCATCAAGTCTGAGTGTAACCTAGTTAATGTACAGCAACAATAAATAGTACCACAAGTATTTATTTCAAACACCACAGCTTATAAACTGGTCGACACGCCACACATGTGCACGTCCTACTCCGCCACGTCTGGTCTAACCTTGCTGTACCAGCCTTCGGTAGTGCGGCATGACCTTGCTCTCGGGGAGATATAGTCCCATCTCCAAGGCAACCAGTACCGGGAACTCCAGAGGAATCAGTTCGCGTCTGTTTATGCGGAAACGCTCCTCCAGCTTCTGCTCGTCCACGGAGAGAAAAAGCAGAGGAAGAAACAGGTGGTGATGATGATGATTTGTCCTGTTGCTTTGTCCATGCCAACAGTTGACTTAAATGATCTGTGATATCTTTTTCTTTCTTTTTTTTTGTTATTAAATAGACCTGCACCATGAAGCAGGACTCCATATTATTAAGCTAACTTCAGGTTCAACCCTGAGTTTTCTTTAGTGTTATGAAGGTGGTTCATTGTCATGGTAACTTATTTTTAAGCATATTTTGTTCAACATAAGAGTTCAACATGTAAGAAACCACCAATTACTGACCAATCAGATCTCTAACAAACAGTTTGCGGACCTCAGTGCACAGCTTTAGATCTCTTTCTGTTGAGCATCAATCAAAAAACAGATTTATTCCTCGCCTTTCCTCCTGTTGGATGCATATTTTATAAGCATCGACACAGTGATGTGTTCCTAAAACAGTGACACTGAGACAGTTTCAGCACTGTTCTCTCAGATCAAATAGAAAGACAGGATTCAAACTAGCCTCCTTGAAAAATTCATATAAAAGGTCAGTAAGTGCAAGATTTAGTTGCCCTATTTCACAGTATTAAGGTTCACAGAAAGATAAAAGTGTTTTAAAATGACCCTCTGCTAACAGGAAAAATTAGGAGCCTATGTTTGAACTGAGGTCTGATCTTCCATGAAAGGCGACACCATTTTCCAAAGAACTTTTTGGCTGGTAGGCGTAGATTTTGTGCGTACTGATCTTGGGAATAACAGTAAGACATGAGCCAAACATGTAACACTGAGAACAGGGTTAAACCTAAAGTTACTTCAACAATTCTGCCTCCACAGTCGAGACTTAGTTTGTCGACTTTACACCGAATAAGGTTTTAAAATGTGTTGGGTTTTTTGAGAGCAGTGCACGTTTCTTCATTTTTTTTAAGTTTAATGGCACTGCATGCCTGTTATTACACCAAACCAGTGAAAAGGTTCTTGGGTCCAGCTGACTGGACCCGCAGGCCCGTTCACCACCTGTAAAGTAAATGTAGTGAACTGAACCTTCACTAATGATTAGTTTCTTCTTACAGTTAAAAATGACAATAGAAGTCATAACAGTTTTCAGCTGCTATCCACAGCTAGCTTACGTTAATAAAAAGTTAAACTGAAAGCTGGCAGTATGCAGACCACGATTATCACAGTTGACTTAAAACTCGCTATTATAAAACATTTTCGCTAACTCAAATGAAAATTAAGAGTTTAGAAAAACTAAGTGAAAGAAAATCTACAGGTTTTAGTCTTTTTTGAGACTGCAGATGTTCTGCAGAGCTGAGTTTATATTATTGTAAAAACTGTTCTGTTTCTGTTGGTCCTGAAGAATGCACTGCATTATATGATTGTGGGTCAGTTAAAGTCTGGTTTTAGCACTACACTGCACACTAGTTACTGCTCTCGTATGAGCAGAGAAAGGTAGGTAGTTACATTTAAACACATCCTGTTTTGTTTTCTGAGTGGAAACTTTACTCACATCAATCAGCTGTTTAACTTCTGGCTTTCTCAGATCGCTGCTGATCTTTGCAGCCAGCAGCACGCACGCCGCCGCCACCAGCTTCCTGTTCTGCTTGTTGAGGCGTCCCTGCAGCACCAGCTTCTCAAAGTAAACAAAAGCCATTGCTATGGTCACCGGCTGGAGGCCGCACTCCTCGCTCACGGCCCTCATCTCTCTCTTCAGGCTAGAGGAGGTGAGAAGTCACAGTCATCAGTTTTCTAAGAAGGGCGTATTGTGTGTACACTCTGAACCAGATTACAGACCGAGGCCGAATCTTTAAAAGGCTCAAACTCTGAAAATCAGAGAGGAATGTGAGAAATCTGCACCTTCTTATCTTGCTCAGTGTCAGTTTAATGTGGGGAAACTTCTCCTTGAAAGTCTCATTCATGTCCTTCTTCAGGTCAGATGGTTTCACGTATTCAATGACCGTCGTCTGCAGAGATGGAAAAACAAAACCGCCGTGTCAATATGGAACTGCCAGGAATAACAGCCGCAGTAAAGCGTTTCAGCTTTGCTTGTGTTGATAAGGACTGCTTCACCAGCACACTCATGCTGGAGGTCAGAGACGAGTGACGCAGTCAGCTGAGGAACAATAAAATCATGTGAGCTGGAGATAAAGGGTTTATTTACTCTTCAACATGACTGCAGAACTGCTTTACAACAATTTACAAGGCAAATGAAACTGGCCTGTCCTGATTTCTGAAACAAAGGAGGACAGATGGGGCGAGACAAAGAACCAGGGAAACTCAGAGAAACTCGGTCACAGAGGACACGGAGAAAAGTTCACACCTGCTGTAGAAAACATGGTTACTGTAAGCCTGAGGACACATAACAGAGCAGAGAGTGAGAGGACGGGAGCTTTTCCATCACAGTCGTCTACACTTTGAGCTTCTGTACGACTCATCAAGCTCATTTTAAGACTATCAAAGAAGCCCTGTTGTGCTTTTTTTGACTGTCATACATTTACCGTCATATTAAACTTCCAGCAGCCAAGCTTTAGAGACTAAAATGAAAGTGTGGGGATATTTATGACCTGTGTATCATCATGTCTCCAGTCACATGAAAAAAAACTTTAACATGAATCTGTGCAGTCCTGTCAGTATAACATCTGCCCTTATATATAAAATTAAACGTGGGTCATTCAATTAAAAAAAACCAAAAAAAAAACCAAACAGAATAAGATAAAATCAGCTGACCCTCTCAGAATCCCTCATCTGACTCCAAGTGGGGGTCATTTCATACATTCATTAATACTTTTTCCTGGAAACTACTGAAAATTACAATAAATAAATAATTCAAGGTGCATGATATTTTAGCCAATGTGATTATAAGTCTGGTGTTAGTTTTGCTAATAGCAACTTAATATCTGTGATGCTGAGAACAGAAACAAGCATTGGTACCCTGGATGTTTGATCTGGTTTCTAATAATTTACTGAAGAACACTTTAAAAAGTGCATTTTGGGTAGACTTTCAGGGTCATCTCACGGTCATATCATGGGATTGATAATTGGCCAATAATAGGTTATGTCACATGAAATGTCTTCTTTTTAAGTGTCAGGTTGATCTCCTAGTCGTGATTCCCTCTGTGTTGGTATAATTAGACAACGTGATTGTTTTTTTCTGCTTTGAAAATTTTCATGTAGATATCTACTGTATTTATGAAGTCATGGGGCTCAAATATACTTAAAAAAGGTAAATAAAAATAATAAAATGCCAAATCTCAACCACTCTGTGTCTAATCTGAGGGCCTGTAACTCTGTAACTATATTATGAAGGTAGCATTTTGCATGCTTCAGTGAATATATTAACTCTATTAAAATAAAAAAATTTTCCAGACATGACTTTTTTTAAAATATGTAACACTGTGTACAATCACGGCCCACAGCGTCATGGAAAACCAGAGGAACAGCCGTGCCTTGAATCATTTCTCATTGTATATATATTTTTCATTACTTTCCAGCAAAGATTAATAACAAATTCATCAACTGAGCCCCACCTGGATCCAAGTTTATTTATGTAGCTATTTGCAGAAGTCATCTCTTGTTAGAAACTAACAGGCGGGTTAGCTTCTATAGCTAGCAGCATGTACAGTGTTTGCTCTGGGTGTGGTGGTGCTGAATGAAACTGCACAAAAACATATTGAGCAGCCTCCTGCAAACACAATCCACTGCTGCAACAATCCCATTTCAAGTTTTTGGATGTGAAATGACTTGTGGCAGACTGGAATCTGATACAAAAACATGAGGGAAACTATTTTGGATTTTTTTTATATCCTCTGATGCTTTTTTTAAGTAAGAAATGCTTTGGGAGACTTCTGCAGACATCTGGGAGTTTTGGATTGAGTCGTAAGAACAAACGTGCACACAAACATTTACTTTTCTGTGTTGTCATTCTGTGTTTGCTCCACTGTTACTTTCCATGTCTGCAGTCTTTTGTATTGCATTTGTGGAAAGGTTTATTAGTAACCTGGTTATCCATTCACATGGCAGAGAAAGCGCCTCCTTCGAGGACAAACCTCACTGTAAAAATCAGGTTTCTCTCATCCCCAGCAATACAGAGTTAAACATTTAACAGCCTCAGCTCCAGTCAGCATTTGCTCTCGTTTGTAACTGCTATGAGGTTATCAGCCGAACATTTTTAGATTTTGGACCTTTTAGTTTCTGTCACATGCTGCAGATGATTTAATGGAACAAGGTGGTGTATGCTCAGAAGGTTTTTTATATGATGTCCAAGGGAGAGAATATCTCTAGTTTGCTAAAACAGGCACTCAGCCTTGGAACTCCTCTGGGAACTTACTTTTAAGCATTATCTAAAGTTCCTATAATTTCAGTGGGGATAGGGACATAAAAATGCAATTATAACTATCACAGGTCTAAGCTGATTAAAAAAAAGAAACACTTAAAAAGTTTTTATGAGCGTTTTTTTCCTCCTGGGACTCCTACAGCCAAATTTGCAGAGAATTCTCCAAAGATTTCCAATATTAACACCTCTGGCCCACCCACCAGAGGAAGGACAGCCAATAAGAATGAAGATGGCTTAAAGGGAAGCAGGAGGGGTGGTAAATGCCTTATTTCAGAGTGGATGAACTGGTGAGTTGCACTGAGGTCTGGTATAAAACACAAAATGTGAATGAGACATGGATGCTATTTCCTCAGTTAAAATTAGTTGAGTTTTGATGGCAAAAACAACACCACAGACGAACCGATGATGAACGAACACCACCTCTATTATAAACCTGTGTTTATAAGTTAGCTTGTAAGATGAACCCCCCCCCCCCCCCCGAGTTTCTTTTTGTTTTGCTTGGTTTCATCTGCTGCGATCTGATAAATAACTCCCCGACTAGCTGATAATGAAAGTAAGAGCTGCAGCCTCACTCACCACGTATGATGCAAATATGAGAACCCGCTTGTGTCTCCCGCAGGGCCACTGAGGGTCACTGAGCAGGTTGGGGTCATATTCCACCACCTCCTCCACATCTGAAATCAAAACACACACACACACACACACACACACACACACACACACACACACACACACACACACACACACACACACACAAACACACACACACACACACACACACAAATGAGTGAATAATTACGGCTCCGGTCAGTTAGGATCAAGATGCAGGCACACATCTGTAAGCTTCATACATGGGTCCTGTGCAACGCTGTTGTTCAGACGAGCAGGGGTGAAGCCCTTCTGCCCGTTGCCTCGGAAACGTGACTGAGGGGTCTGGGCTGTGCAGTTATCTGGTGGACCACCGCTGCTGCTGCCACCGCTCTTTTGTCTCACCAAGGCATTGGTTGGATAAAGAAACTGAGCGTAGGACACCGTCTGAGGAATAACGAGACAGTCAAGTATCTACCTTTTCATCAGTATATTTAGTTACAATAAAAACAAACAAACACAAAGAAACCAAACAACAATCTGCTCGTCCAATTCCCCCCCAAAAAGGGCAATCCAGTTTTGACAAACTCTGAATATACTGCACAGATGAGCAAAGTACAGCTCGAAGGATAGAAGCCGCCTGCAAATCATCACAGTTTGGTCCCCGACGTCCACTCCCAGTCCCAAAAATACATAAATAAATGAAATAAATTAAAAATCAATACAAGGCAGCACTATGTTCATGAATCTCGAGGCAACTGACTGTAATGACTCTGACCTGATATTTATTCAGGTTTAACAGCTAGAGCGCTCATTTACTCAAGCATAAAACAGATTTTTATGTTTATCAAATATCCAGAATTAGCAGTAAACATGCACTGTGCTTATATGCATGGTCACCCAATTTAAGCTCATTTTGAGTCAGGCAAAATTCTTCAGATTAAAACACAAAGTTGCAGCCCTTTTTTCCATATGGAGGAAAAAAAAATCTTTATGTGCAGGAAACACTTTCACCCAGAAAAAATAACCTGATATGTCTACCAGTTTCATGGAGTTTACATAATTTAGTTAATAAAGTGCTCTGGAAAATAAAAATGTGTCCACCTCTGATCTAGTGATCTACTCAATGTCTGGTATGTTTTTAATATAGTGCACAATCTTCAGTGGCAAGTTACAGTGTGCTAGTCTCAGATGAGTATGAGTCACAGCACAAGCAGAGCTTCAATCGTGTGTATACTGTAGGTATCGCAGTACATCAGGCTGGCACTCACCTTTCCACAGGCACCCATCTCCACACCTTCCAGAGAAGGAAGCAGATCAGCAGCCACCACCGAGGAGAGTCTTTGCCTCTGAGCCTCCAGCTTAGGGTCACTGTTCATGAAAAGACACATTTATGTGACCGTTCCACCCACTCCTGCACACTCGCTGCCCTTTTGAGAATGATATGGATCAAACAGGAGGAGGATGGAAACATAAAAGTGAAGGATGGGTGCTCTCTGCTTGGGATGGTGCTTTCTTTGTACCTGATATTTGAACTCTCTCCATAGGGCAGCACTGAGAAAGCAGCGTAAAGCGACCGCTTGGCACAAATCAGCATGATCCTGCAGGACACAACAAGTACAGGCAGACAAAACAGATGGTGTGTCAGTCTACAAGCAACAGCTACAGTCACCACTACTCTGCAGCTACACGAACACTCATCAGCTGCAGCGACGGCAAAATCAGTCACACAGCCGCTTCTGCGCTTGTCAGTACTAAAGCTACACAGCTCTCGACAACAACCTAAAGCAGGAGGCGGGAACCATTACATTCAAGTCACAGAGGTATTCATAAAATCTGGATCACAATCCGTTTTTTCAGGGCATAAAAACCACAGGTATGCCAATACTGAGAGCGTTTTCTTTGCTTTAATAACAGCAACGCTGCAAATATTCAATTAATATTTTAAAGAGGACGTGTTCTGCTCATTTCCAGCTCCATATTTTGTCCTTAGGCTCTACTAGAGCGCTTTGTGTGATTCACAGTTGAAAATAATCCCTATTTATCTTACTGAAACAAGCTGATTTAGCTCCCTGTGAGACAGCATTCTTCTGAATGGTTGCCCCTAGTAAATGAGAGTGTTTGAAAGGCAAGATCCATGTGAGTAGAGAGATATCTGCTCTCAGTGACATCTCATAGAGCCAGCATTGGGAAAAAAATGACTGAAACATGTATTGGTAGTCTGAAGCCTAAGCCTTTGGCTAATAGACCCACACTTCTATACTTTGCGAGTCCATAACTCTGAATATTGGTGATTTTCGTTCTATTTTACAGCTGGTTATGAGGGAGTCAGGTGGGAGCCACTGATTGATTTTCAGTGGAATGATTTTCAGCTGCCACCTTTCCCACATGATGATTTGACCTTTGAGAAGTTCACCCTAAAAACAGTTTCTAAAGTTTTCTCCAGTGAAATATGAGAAAACAGATAAAACATCCAACGCACGGTTTGTTTCTGTTATTCTACATTACACAAATCTTTATATTTATACATATACATATAACTAGAGCGGTTCTGCTCTTGACATTATAATATCCCAAGATATCGATGCTCAAACTTTAACAGACCTTAAATGTATTTTTCAGCCATCTCTGGTACAATATGAGGGTTGCAGAAACATTAAGGCGACCTAAAAAGTGCCATATTGACCAACTTCTATGTATTTTGGGGTTTGTAATTCAGATTAGCTGATTCTGTGTTTCTTCTTATATATAGTGCATAAACCTCTGTGCAACTCGAATGTATTGGTAACACACAAGAGGCTGAAACTACAGCTGGATTCATTCAAACCAGGAACAGGCAACCAGCAAACACAGTAAACACTCACGAGGACTCCTCTGTGCTGACAGAAATGCAGACAAACAGACTGATCTACTGAGCAGCACCACAACCAGTACGTACTAAAAACAGCTCCCCACAAAAAAAACATCAATAACATACAGTCAGCAGCCACTGCCAACACTCAGCTGTAAACACGCAGCCCGGCTGACCCTCGGAGAGATACCAAATCTCTTGGGGGGGGGGGAACAGTATTACAACACTGACTTCTATTAGTGCTAATTACCTTATGGTATAAACTCTAAATGAGAGCTTCCCTTCAGCTCAGGAAGTAACACGCAATGTGTGTCTGCCTCAAACTGAAACAGAAAGCCAAACCTGTGGGACAGTTTGGGATTGTCATTGGTTTGCACGCACCAGCAGAAAACACTGAACACACATATGTATGCATGTGGGGATGGATATGAAGTAGACAGTGGATGTTGGATGGCAAATGGGGAGTAAGATAATCGATTAAAAAAAATAATTATTTGACATGTTTGTGCCAAAGTTTACAGACAGAATATTTCTTTTTTCGCTGTTGTGGTCAACCAGCTGCCAGCAGTGTGGCATTTCATTTCCCTGGCCCCCTCTGGGTTACCTTACTGTTGCCGTAATGGGGTGTTAAATTTCCACACTGCACCTCTTTTGGCTTTTGCTAAGCTTCCAGGGGTGATTAAATTCACTTTAGCAATCACAACTCTGCAGCTGTATCCCTGTTATTCCTCTGCAGCTTGTGCACCAGATAAGCAGCTTATTACAGAGGAGTACAACGCTGCTATATTTAAGGCCTATTTAAAAATTAAACAGATTTTTCTGCATTTTTTTACATTCCTCTGCTAAAATCTGGGTGGAAATATGTGTACAAACACTGCTCTGAGACTCACCTGGATCCTCGGGTATCGTACTGCCTCATACTCTTGATGAAGTGGACTTTCTTTGGCACTTTGGGTCCCGGTGAGCCAGAGACATTCCTCAGCCTGATTAAAACACCACTTTAATTAATAATGCTTTCACAACATAACCCAAACAAAGAGTGTGCACGTGTTAGGACTTTTACTGTAATCACAAATCTCTTTGCCTTATAGGTTTGGAGGTAAAGGCGAATTATTTGGAGTATTTTCACCACAGGGTGTTAAAAAATGTGCTTTATTTCATGCACTGAGCTATTTCACGTTATTTGTTCTATTGAAATTAAAAAATTACCTTTAGACTTTTATTCATTCTGTTCCTCTTCGTATTACATATAGCTTTTAATAGACTTCTGTTGCGATTATGATTATATTATATTCACACTTTTATTATTATATTTTGTATACATATACATAAAAAAAATGGGTTCCTTTATTTTACTTCAGCTCCTGTTTTGTCATGTCATATGTTTTGTTGATCGTTTTTGTCTGGCGTAGCAAAGGAATTCCCCAACTTCTGACATGAATATAGAACATGTTACATTATCGTTTTAATTCAGGACACAAATGAACACTTTTGACCAGATTACAGAGACATAACCCTGATTTAAGTGCTCGTGTTTAACATTTAGACCTACTGATAGCTAATAATACCGAAAATGCTGGAACCCATTAAAATCAAAGTGACTTCCCCCGAAGATACCAGCTGGTGCCGTCTCTTACGGAAGTCAGCAGCCCCGTTTAAAGGCCCATGTTGACACATAAATCACTAATGTGCTCACCTCTGCCGTGAATCCAGAGAATTACCGGCACCGACGGGACTGAGCGCGGCGGGCGTTGACTTGACACGGGAGCAGTGCGGGTGTCCGGTCGGGACGGGAGAAAGAGGAGTGTCTGGGGTTAGCGTCTCGGCCGCACTGGTATTATCCAAAAATACCTCGTTAGCTCCAACAGCACCTGGCCCGGACATTACCAAAGAAGGTCCACCCGGACCGACCACCCCTGGGAAACTGGAGGATGAGCCACTACCGCTTGCGGCGACGTCTGTCACCTGGGCGACAGGTCCTTGACTATCCGACGGCTGGGGCACAACAGCGGCACCGCAGTCTCTGTCCCTGGGTTGGGGCTCCTCAGCGGCTTTCTGGTCGACATTTCCATCGCTAGGTTGACACTGGGGTCGTCCGTCGAGTGAGATATTACTGAGAAACAGCAGAGCAGCCTGTCTTCGCCGGGAGTCCTTCGCTTTCCTGCGCTGGTCTTGGTGAGTCTTTGCCGATTTACTGCCAGTGGACTGTAGACCGCAGAGAGCGGTCGCCATTCTAGTTTGAAATGTGGCAGTTGAACGAAAAGGCAAAGCGAAACCGGTAAGAGCATATTTGCCCCACCTCTCTGTTTGCTGATTGGCTTTGAGGGTGATTATGCAAATTAAATCGTGTAAATACTGATAGGGGATTGGATATAGTCACCAAAATATTCTAGTTTCTTGTACCTGGTTGGCTGTAATGTTACAGTGGGAAGGGGGCTAGTAACAAAGGAAATATTCAATGGCTTTTATATATGACAACTAATCAATTATATCAATCAGAATATGCATAAATATTTTTCAGTCCGAGGGCATCAAGGTCTAACAACTAATGAATTGATCTAACAATCTTCTTTAAAAAAAAAAAAAAATGTGTTCAATGTAATCAAAGGTGGGTGAGTGTTTTTTCACATCAAAACATGGTAACAAATTTTATTAATAATATTAAACGAAGGGCCTGAATAGAATTGCCAGATCCACCTAAAGGCTCCAGTTGCATTTAAATAATTTCAATTTGGCTAGTTGTCTGATATGCAACACTGCATAGGTCTCTGATGAAATACACTGCAGTTTAAATGAGTTAAAGAATTTTGCCGTCAGTTACCTCTGTGTGTTTAGCATAGCGCTGCATCTTACTGATTTGGGAGTTTTATTTGATTTTTATGTATGTTGGCTGGATTGAGAGATTCTATAGGCCATTTATGGACATGCGATTCCTAAAACATTCAGTCAAGCTGGTGTAATCTACAAATGTTGATAATGTACTTATTGACATTTATTTAGCAATTTTCCACTCTTATTGAGCATTCAAGCTCTATAAATGTTTTGGTGTTTTATCATAAAAGAAAGTCTGAAAATCAACAAGGAAGCAAACATTTTTTTCTAGATGTGTTATATTCAAGCAGCAGTCTCTGGAGCTGAAAGAAGCCAATGCAACAGTGTCAAAAAAACTGCACTTCCTCTAGGGTTCAACTTGAGGCTGACTCCAAAAGTGAATCAGTCTCCAAAGACTGCCATCTTAAAATGTCCAACTTTATAGCATTAGCTATAGCAAAGCACGTTGACAGCCTTGCACAAAAACACTTTTGTTCTCTTTGGATCATTTTCCTATTGATAACAACTGCACACTTATTTATAAGTCATCCACTTGAATGCTAGTATGGCCTAAAGTCCTGCTTTGATTAATAGGTGAACGAATGCCTCCCTTTGGGGGTTTTTTCAAACACACCCAACTGGAAAGGATCCCAGGGTAAAGCCAGAACTCACTGGGGACATTACATATCTCATCTGGCCTGGGAATGACTCAAGACGTGTGGGTGAATGAATGATGACCCAAGTAACTGTAGCTGGGAGCTGTCTGCTAGGACTCACTTTTTAACTGGATATCTCCTTTGTGTTTGAATTATTTAACAAACATTATGACTTCCTGTGTGGGCCGGACCATCTAAGAAGTTTGTGTTTCACTTCTGTTGAATAAAATCCAAGTATTTCATTATTCTTTTACTTAATTATTGTGTCTGCATTAGAGCGTGACCCAATACAGGAATTTTAAAGACTGATACTGATACCAGTGCCGATATTTTCTGATTTAACATATCATATATCTGTCGATATTTTTCCATCTAGATTCACAAAAATAAACAGATTTTTCTAACACATGTTACGTGTAATTATTTATGAGTCCTTGCTAACCTAACCATTTTTTCATGCTTATCTAATTCAGGGTTGCAGGGGTGTCTATCCTAGCTGGATGACCCCTGGACAAGTTGACTGTCTGTTGCAGAGTTAATACAGAAAGACAATTCACCTAACCCCACTAACTGCAAGTTTTTTGGAGAAGGCTGGAGTACCCAGAGACAATGGGTGACATGGGGAAAACATGCAAAAGTCACAAAGAAAAGCCCCAGCCCGATAAGCCCCTTTTCCATTAGTACCTACTTGGATGGACTTGGCACAGATCGGTCATGTATCGCCACGGATCGCCACGACTCAACTCGGATCGACTGGTTTTTCATTACAATCCAGTACCACCTAGTGTGTGTGGTTGTCGTCATAGTAATGCTGCAGAGCATCCTGTGCCATAATTATTACGCGACATGAATGCTAGAACAAAGGTGGACGTTGATGCAAGAATATGCCTGCTGCTCGAGCTGTGGTTTTCGTTAGACTTGGGGGACCATGGCTTTGTTTTTTGTAGCCATTTCCCTTGTTCCCTCAAAAATGGCGGTTTTGATTTTTTTTGAGATCCTCTCAAGACTCATCGCCAGAGGTGTGGACTCGAGTCACATGACTTGGACTCGAGTCAGACTCGAGTCATTAATTTTATGACTTTAGACTTGACTTGAAAAAATGTTCTAAGACTTGTGACTTGACTTGGACTTTTACACCAATGACTTGGGACTTGAATTGGACTTGAACCGGTTTACTTGAAAAGACTTGATATTTTACCCCAAATATAAAATTTAACATGCATATTATATAGAGATTGAAAATGTGACGTCATTCACGGGTAGAACCGCAAAGGATTCTGGGAACTCGTGGCAAGCGGTACTAGCGCACGCAGGCTTTCAATTGAAATCAGTCACACAGCGATAAAAAGAAACACAAAAATGTCAAGAAGCTGTTGTATTATTAACTGCAATAGCCGGTCGCATGACAGCCACGGGAAGCCGACGGGTAAAGAGATCGGTTGTTATCGGATTATGTCGTTGAAGAGAAATTGTTCGAGCCATGTTTCCGAAGTAACAAAGACGCATGGATGGTCTGGATTGCAGCCATTCAAAGATCAAATATAACGTCCCAGAACACTCCAGCTCACAGGTTAGTCTGCTCCAAGCATTTACACGAAGGTCAGTGTCTTTTAGTACTTAATACGTCATTTTCATAACATAATTGGTGATATAGGTTACAAGCAAGTCTGGCGCTGAACAGAAATTGTGTGCTATGCTCCTTTATTTATTGTGCATAAATAGTGAATTGTCCTGACACAATATTGCGTTTCGCTTCTGTTATTATGGTACATTGACAAAAACATATACTTTTATTCACAGGATAAAACAGGGTTTTTGAATCACTAATTGCCCAGTACGATTACAGCATACAGTATTATTGTCACTGCTACATTTCTGTGATGGGTACCAGAAATTATTTCCACTACTAATTAATTACCGTTGAGCTCAAAGGTTATATTAATAAACGGTTAACGAATGTGTATTTATGACGACGATTTGTGAGACTGGTAAACTTATGATACGTACGATGGTCTTTCGTTCTACACGGTGCATTTCAAGGTCCTGCACCCATCCGTCGGTAAACTGTACCTGGACTTGTTGCAGTGACCTGAAGTTACTAAACTTCATGAGTGTATGCACTCACTCCAAGAACCGTATGATTATAAATATGCATATAAATATGCTACGATGAGATAGCTGACTTCATCTAACTAGCAAATGTTTTCCAGGCTACGTTGGTGATTCAGTTTTTTTTTAATATGTATGATATTTTTGTCATGCGATTTTAAAGCCGGTCCTACAACCGCATCCAAGAATAACATGCAGCTTATCTCAGAACTGTCGGTGAAAATTATTCTTGGAGCTAGGTTTAAATGAGCTGCATTTTAAAGAGGTGCAATTTCACAATTTGTGTATATTTTCTAAGTTCACTATTTTGTCATGTGTTGAGAAAAACACAGATTAAAAAATTACATGGTCTAATATTTACATTTAGCATAACTGCAACATTATTTTTTCGTTTTTTTTTTTTTAAAGACTCAAAAGGACTTGAAATTCAAAGTTTCAGACTTGTGACTTGACTCGGACTTTTACACCAGTGACTTGAGACTCGACTCTGACTTGCCTGACATTACTTGAGACTTGACTTGAGACTTGAGGATAAAGACTTGAGACTTACTTGAGACTTGCAAAACAATGACTTGGTCCCACCTCTGCTCATCGCTACTGACCAGCAAATCGGTGGCATGGAGTCTGATGATGTCACATTTTAGTATCTGCTCAGTATGCTTGGAACCCCAGCCAAGCAGGTACTAAACAGGCACCTGGTACCAGGTACTATGACTTAATTGAAAACTCCGAAAACTGTGGTGAACTGTGTCGAGTTGACCCAGGTACTAATAAAAAGGGGGCTATAGTGGAGACAAACCCCGTTGCTGTGGGGAAATTGTTAATTTTAACACTTCATTTAAAACTGGTAACCATGTAATAATTTTGTTTTATTGTCACAAGTCGTGGATTACTCAGTTACACTCTGCCCAGATCAGCTGTTTCTTGTGTTTGTGGTGTTCTAAACATATGGCACCAAGTTGCACAGTGCCCTCTGGTGGACAAACTATTGAACATTAAAGCTTGTAACATGGTTGAAGGGTGTTTCTGCCATTTCTTCTTTACTTTTTAAATTTTAATTTATGATAGATCAGATATCAGTTGATCTTGTCATCGCTTTAGCGCTCCTCCTCCTCATTTTGTTCACACCCCAGATAGCTTTCCTCAGGATGTCGTTGACAGCTGTAAAAAAAAATTCCTCGTCTTTGTATGGTTGCCTGTGATTTTACAGTTGTGACTCATTAGGAGAAATAAATGTTGAAGTGATATTTTCACACCATTGTTTGGCTTTTGAGAAAATTACAGCAGCACCTATTTAGCATTTGTGAACAAGTCAGTGGGAGCGTGAGACTGTAATTGTGAGATCAAAGACAGCTCGGCTGCTTGTTATCTCATTGTACTGCAGCAAGCACAGTTAATGGGACGGTTAGCACAATATTTGCATTTTGGTTCCACACTTATAGTCTCGTAGTGAGTGTTTCTCCGAGACAGAAACTGAAGTGTGAAAGCTTTTCCATCTCCTGAGTGGGAGCAATCAATAGGTCCTTTCCTTCCTTCACCATTTAAGGGAATTACACTGCAAGCAGCGTGCCAAAGAGGGGGCAGATTGTGTTGTGCTGATGTTTGGAGATGTGGGTAGTACTGACAACTTTAGTACTGATAATCCACTGATCCCCTGCAGAGATGGGATTAAGACTCAATCTAATCAGAACAATCTGTCGATCTGCCTCTGAAGTATCTATCTACAGCTG